AGAGCTCTATAAAACTGAAAGCACTATATAAATGCTATCTACTATCTTTCCAGTATTCTAATTCATAATGTTAGCATTAGTCTCAACTCCTCAATCTTCTTCACCCCACGTATATAATTAGTTGCCAAATCTGTATTTTGTAATTTTTTTAAATTCACTTTTTTTTTGGTTCTGAATTCTATCTTCTTCCTCTGCTTCCTGTACTCACTCACTGAGAAGGCAAGAAAAATAAAACTCATTACAAATATGCACAATCATGCAAAACAACAAATTCCCACATTAGCTACACTGGGAAGGGAGGAGGGAAGGAAGGAAGGAAGGAAGGAAGGAAGGAAGGAAGGAAGAAAGGAAGGAAAGGAGGGAAAGAGAAAGAAAAGAAAATATGCTTCAATCTACTCTGACTCCATCAGCTCTCCATCTGGAGGCGGACAGTATGTTACATCACAAATCCTTTGGAATTGTGGATGGTCATTTTGTTGATCAGAGTTGTTAAGTCTTTCACAGTTGATTATCTTTATAATACTGCTGTTACTATATAAATTGTACTCCTGGTTCTGCTCACTTCACTTGGCATCAATTCATATACATCTTCTCAGGCTTCTCTGAAACCACCCTCTTCATCATTTCTTATAGCACAATAGTGTACCATCATATATCATAATTTGTTCAGTCATTCCCCATTTGATGGATATCCCCTCAGTTTCGAATTCTTTGCTACCACAAAAAGAGCTGCTATAGATGTTTTTTGTACATGTGGACCCTTTTCCTCTTTCCTTGACCTCTCTGGAGTATAGACCTAGTAGCAGTATTGCTGATTCAAAGGATATGCACAGTTTTATAACCTTTTTTGTATAGTTACAAATTGTTCTCCAGAATAGTTGGACCAGTTCATAGTTCTACCAACATTAGTCTGCCTGTTCTCCCATAATCCTTTTTTGTCATCTTAGCCAATCTGATTGATGGGTGTGGTATCTCACAATTGTTTTAATTTGCATTTCTCTAATCATTAGTGATTTTAAAGAATTTTTTTTTCATATGGCTATTGATAGCTTGGATTTCTTCCTCTGAAAACTGTCTAGTCATATCCTTTGATAATTTATCAGTTGGGGAACGGCTCTTACTCTTGTAAATTTGACTCAGTTCCTTATTAGGTATTTGAGAAATGAGACCTTTTATCAGAGACACTTGCTGCAAAGATTTTTTTCTTCAGTTTCCTGCTTTTTCTTGTAATTTTAGGTCTACTGGTTGTGTTTGTGCAAAACCTGTTTAATTTTATACAATCAAAATTATCCATTTTACCTCCTTAAACTTCTCTGTCTTGTTTGGTCATGAACTCTTCTGCCATCCAGAGATCTGACAGGTAATTTCTTCCCTGCTCTAGTAATTTGCTTAACATATCACCCTTTATGTCTAAACGATGCATTCATTTAGAGCTTATCTTTGTATACAGTGTAAGATGTTGTAGTTTCTGTAGTTTCTACTTTCTAATTTTCCCAGCAGTGTTTGTCAACTAGTGAATTCTTGGCCCAATAACTGGGATCTTTGAGTTTATCAAATACTAGGCTACTGTGTTAGTTTTGGTATATTAAGTACCTAATTTATTCCTGATCAACCTCTCTATTTTTCACTCACTACCAGATTGTTTGAAAGATTAGTTTTATAATATAGTTTGAAATCTGATATTTCCCACCATCTTATTCTATTTTTCCTTCCTGTTTCCCCCACCTTCTCTTTAAGAGTCTATTTTACTTCTGAATAACGTCTCCCTTAATCTACCCTTCCCACCTTTACCCTTTTTTCCCTTTCCCTCTTTTCTTCCAATTTGCCTGCTAGGTAAGATGTGTTTCTGTACCTAACTATGTGTATGTGTATTTGTCCCTCCTTTAACTAGCTCAGATGATGGTGAGGTTCAAATATCACATGCTTCTCACTCCCCAGTAGTCCCACCTTACTGTATAAACTCTTCCTTGCACGTCCCATTTATGTGAGACAATTTTCCCCATTTTTCCTTTCCCTACCTCCCTCTTCCAATGCATTCCTCTTCTCCACTCATCCATTCTTCTTTTGAGATCATCCAAATATAACAGAATCACATCCAGGTCTTCTGTCTAATTACACTTCCTTTAAGAGCCTGGTGATGATAAAGATCTAAGGGGCTATGTGTTATTATCTCACCATATAAAAATGTAAACAGTTTAACCTTGTTTAATCTCCTATGATTTTTCACTCACATTTACTTTTTTATGCTTCTCTTGATTCCTATGTTTGAAAGGCAAATTTTCTACTCAGCTCTGGTCTTTTCATCAGGAATGTTTAAAAATAATCTTCTATTTCATTAAAGCTCCATTTTTTCTCCTGTAGATTTATACTCAATTTTGTGGGGTAGGTTATTCTTGGTTGTGATCCTAGATCCTTTGCCTTCTGGAATACTATATTCCAAGCTCTTCACTCCTTGGAACTTATGGCTGCTACATCTTGAGTGATTCTGTGTCTCCTCCACCCTTAAATGCTTTCTTTCTGGTTGCCTGCAGTACTTTTTCCTTGACCTGGGAGCTCTCGATTTTGGTTAAAATATTCCTGAGAATTTTCATTTTCAACTTACTTTGGGAAGTGACCAATGGACTCTTTCAATTTCTACCTTCTCCTCTGGTTCTAAGATATCTTGACAGTTTTCTTTTGCAATTTCTTAAAAGATGATATGCAGGATCTTTTTTTATTCATGGATTTCAAGTAGCCCATTGATTCCTAAATTACCTCTCCTTGATCTACTGTCCAGTACAGTTGGTCTTAGTATGAGATATTTCACATTGTCTTCTATTTTTTCAGTCTTTTGACTTTGTTTTATTATTTCTTGATGTCTTGTGGAGTCATTAGCTTCCATTTGGCCAATTCTAATTTTCAAGAAGTTATTATCTTCAGTAAAGCTTTATACCTCTTTTCCCAAGCTTTTAATTCTCTTTTTATATCCTTCCACTCTATCTTTTGCCTCTTTCTATTCCTTCCTCTACTGCTCTCATTTGGTCTTAGCATTCATTTTTTAAAAAATTTAATTTATTTAGTATTTTATTTTTCCCCAGTTTCATCTGGTTTTTTAAATCATTTTTAGCGCCTTCTTTAACTCTTCTAAGAGTTCTTGCTGGACTTGTGTCCAACCTGCTTTTGTCTTTGCAGTTTTGTTTATAGATTTTTTTCAAGTCATTCTTTTCTTCTGTGCTTGTGTCTTGAGCATCCCTGTCACCATAGTAGCTTTTTATGATCAAGTTTGTTTTTTGTTGGCTAATTCTTCTAGCCTACTTTTTGTTTTTGGACTTTATGTTAGTGCTAGGCTCTGCACACTTATGAGAAGATTGTCTGGCCTAAGCTTCTGTCCCCTTATGACCTTGTGTTGATTTTATACCTCAGTCTGGGGGTCTACAAGTTTACAGTGTTTCCAAAGTGATGTGATCCAGGGGGAAGTATGTTCACTGCTCTCCTGGTCTCAGTTCTGCAACTTTCTGACCCAGCTTTGGGTCTATCAGCTTATCTCTGTTTGGGATTTTCAACAGCCTGCTGCTAGACTCAGTCACTACTGGCATGCAGAGGGGCTCTGCAGGTTCAGAGAGACTGAACTGCTGACTCCCCTTTAGTCTGCTTTAGGATCAGAGCCACCCACATAGCTACCATACACTTTCTGGAATTTGTTTCATTCTCAGTCACAGGTAGGGCCAATGCTCGTGACCATTCTTCACACTAGATGGTATGTGACTGAGCTGCTGGATGGCACACATTCCTGTACTGAGCACTTGCTTAGGGATTCCTTGAGATCTCTTTCTGCTGCCATGCCTCACCCTTCTTTGAGTCCCCGGGTACTAGAATGCTCCCTGCTGCTGCACTGCAGCCATGCATTCCTGGCCAAACCCCTTCTCCAGAGTCCACAGACGTCTCTAAAGCTGACCTGGCCTAAAAGAAGGACTCACCATGACTTCTGGGAATTCCCAATCAGAATTCAACCTGGTGTATTCTCTAGATCTTTGTCAAGGAGGTGAGGGAGAAAAGCCGGACTCTAAAGCTTCCTCTCGCTCTGCCATCCTTATTCCACTCTCTAGTTGCCATATCTTGCTGTTTCTACTTCCACGACACCTTTCTCATCCAACCCCTTCACTCCACTCACAAAGCTATCATTTTAGTTCAGGCCTTTGTCGCTTCTCACCTAGACTATTAAAACAGCCTCCTAACTGGTCTCCCTGCCTTAAGTCTTTCACAACTCCAATCAATTCTACACATTGCCGCCAAAGTAATTCTCCTTAAGTGCGTATCTGACCATGTCACTCCCCTGCTCAACCAACTCAAGTGGCTTCCTCTCGATGCTAGGATCAAATGCAAACTCCTCTGTTTAACTTTTAAAACCTTAAACAGCCTGGCCCTAATCTGTCTTTGCAGCCTAACAGGACATTACTCTCCTTCCTACACTCTGTGTCCAGTCTAATTGGCCTTCTCTGATCCCCACACATAAAACCACATATCCTCTTATACTGGTTATCTCCCACACCTGGAATGCCCTCCCTCAGAAAGCCCCCCTATTCTTTAAGATGCAGTTCAAACATCATATTCTACATGAAGTTTTTCCCAATCCCTCCAACTGTCAGTGCCCTCCCTCCTAAACTATTCTGTATTTAATGACTCTCTATATATTTGCATGTATTCACCTTGTATTTATGTTGTACATATTTTCACATATTCTTGTCTCCCTTATTAGAATATAAGCTCCTTGCAAGCAGAACATATACTCTCAATGCCTGGCATAGTGCCTGGCACACAATGGTGAATAATAAATATTTGTTGATTTACTGATTGACTCCTGGCTCTGATATTTACCAGTTTGCAATGCTATCATCTCTTCACAAAGGAAATATTTTACCTCCCTTTTCCAATGGAAATTAGACTTATGGGCCCTCAAATTATATTTAATCAATTAAAAGTAAGTACTAGCCTATGATAAGATGGGTAAAATTGGTGCCTACCTTTGAGGTCAAATCAATATTAAATCTCCTGCCTTCTTTAACAATTTGGGAGTAAGTAATCCTATTCTTCTTGGGCACATCAACAACAGCTTCTCCTACAGGTACATTTTCAGCTTTTTCCTGTTCCAAAGGTGACTCGCTACAATCCGCATCACCAACATGGTTTTCGTTCCCCAGTGTCGCATCTACATCAGGTACTTCCTGTGAAGTCTCTGGCTCACTGAGCGGCGCTGTTAATTCAGACGTATCAGAGCAAGCTGTGCCGGTTGAGTCCGGAGGATCATTTGAGCTAGCAGACGTCACAAAGGCAGGATTTTTCTGCACAGCACCGACTTCTTCAACATGTTCATCTGAATCCTGACTAAATGAGAAATAGCAATATTCAGCAATGAGCCTAAGGTCAGAATACCAACTTTAATCTGGAAACTTTTATAAACATGCTTTATCTATTATCATTTCATCAAGAGCAACTTCCTTTGCCTTATATGGCACTAAAGGGTAAATACATCCCACAGGATCATGAGATCATAGTGCAAGAGAACACAAAGCCTTTTAACCCAAACTCCTCATTCTATAGAAGAGGAAAATAAGGCCCAGTGAGAGTAAATAACTCACTTAAGGTTACAAAACCAGGGAGTAGCACAGGTGGAACTTGAACTTAGCTGCTCTGACTCCAAATCCAATGCTTTTCCCACTGCATTATAGCAATTTTTTAGTGGAAAATCAAATAAGTTGCTATCTGTAAAACACTACACTTCTATTTGGGGGCCACTGCCATACACACACTAATACACACAACACATGTATACATACATAATCTACATATATATATATACACACACAAATATATCTATATGCCTATACATATCTATATACGTATGTATATACTCACATATATGACTATATACATATGTGTGTATATATGGATATGTAATATATATTTTATATACTCATGTGTGTGTGTATTATATATGTATGTATACATACATACACACGCATAAACATTTCTAAGAGGTAGGGACAGGGATTGTCTTTGTATCTAATTCCCTGTCTTTTCTGAGGAAGGTCAAAAATATCAATCCTTTTGAATTTCTTTACCACAATGGACAGTCAAAGGGATTTTTCTTCTATCTTATTCTATTCTATTCCTGGCATATTTTTCTATACTGTTAAGCCCATTTCTCTAGTCATCATCCGTAGTCCCATCCCTCATCAAATCTGTCTGGCCTACTGAACCAAGACCCCAGTATAGTAGACGATGAGCAGTATTTTCCAGCTGTGCCTAATCCTACATAGAACTGGCAGGAAAACACTAGTTTATCAAATCATCCAATTGCTCAGCACCTAGCATAATTTTGCTGCAAGACCCTAATAAAGAATTCGAGCAATACTTATGAAACACCTACTCTGTTAGGTGCTCGCAGTCAGTCAGTCAGTCAACCAACATTTATTAAGTTCCTACTATGTACCACGCACTGTGCTAAGTGCTACACAGAAAAGGAAAAAAAAGTCCCTGCTCTTAAGGAGCTCACAGTCTAATGCGGGAAGAAGCAAACAACTATGTATAACTATATATAAACAAACTACATTCAGGATAAATTGGGGACAGTCTCAGAGGGAAGGAAGTCTGGGCAAGGCTTCTTGCAGAAGGTGGGATTTTAGCTGAGATTTGAAGGAAGCCAGGGAAGCCGGGAGCCAGAAATGAAGAAGGGAGTTCCAGGAATGGGGCACAGCCAGTGAAAATGATGAAAAAAGGTAGACATAAAGGTGAGTAAAATATGTGTCCTCAGGGAACTACTGCAGCTTGAGCCTATATCTCCTTCTGCCAAGACTATGCTGGTACAGAATAACAGAACAGTAATCTTCTGCAGGCTTCAGAGTGGGCTTCAAGCTAGAACTGAGACCCCATGCCGCACCTAGGGTCAAAGTCACACAGCTGTTGCTTATCTCTGAACTTGCCCCTTACTTGGTACAATGTTTAAGGCCCATGACCACTCTTTCCCCTGGAATGTCACCTCTAGGTACAAGTTCCCTCCTCAATCAGCCCGAGATCTATGACCCACTACTGGGTAGTCAGCAAAAGAACGATCAATTGGTGCGAGTTCAGGGGTGGATTTGGAATCTTTTCTTGCCCTGAGCTAGAATGCTCCATATGGTGTTTCCTGGATAGACCTCATCCCCAGTGTCCTCAGACCTCTATGTCTTCTGCCTATGCCGATCTGGGCTCAAAAAAGAACTCACTGTAATTTTGTTTTTCTCGGATTTCTGATTAGGACTCAGGCTGCTGCATTTTCTAGATCTGTTTGGAAGAGTTGTAGGATAGAGCTAATATCAGATACTCTCCCAACTTGACTCCACTTCCTCTGGGAATGTTTTCAGTATAACCCCCCTGGTCAAAAATCCTTAGGCCACACATACTCATTCCTCATTATATGAGGAATTCCTCCAAACTAGATTGTAAGTACCATGAGGGAAAGAATCACATCTTTCTAGCACACACATAGTACCAATTTAATAAATATGCATTCAATTGAATTAATCTCTCCAACTAAACCATTAATCTCTAGGGCAGGGACTATTTTCATGTTTTATATCCCTCAAAGGACCAACTGTAGGGGTATGTAGACAGATGGCAATTAAACACATTTGGAATATTTTTGTATGCAAATTACAATAAAAAACTCATTACTTCAGAGAAAGCAAGAAAAATTAGATCACAGAAAAAAATTCAACTAATTCCAATTAGGCATTCAGGTTCTTAAAAATTATAGTAGCAATGAAGATAAAGTGCCATACTAAAATTTACTCAGTGCTGCAGCAAAGAAAGGGAGTGATTAAAGAAGAAAAGAACTCATACAAATACCAAGAAACAAAATATCTAAGTCTTTGCTAGAATTATCTGGTAATTTTAATGAAATGTCACAACAAAGAATACCCGATACATGCAGTGCTACCCCCCAGCAAGTTTTAGAGAAAAAAGCACTGAGATAGTAAGATGAAGTCCTGGATAAGCCACAGAGACGGAGCCCCAATTTCCTCCTTCGGAAAATGAGGCAAACATCACCTGTCTCATCTACTTGACAGGGCTTACTATGAGGAATAAAATGTTAGGGCGTGGCGCTTTGGAAAATGAACAAATGTTAACACAGCATTTTTAGAATGACTAAGAGTTTATTATAAACAAACAATAAGCAACATTCTGGTAACAAAATGTGTCACTGACACCGTTCTTCTGTAGCTAGTGATCCGATATAGACATTAAATGATTTCATGATGATGAGGAGCCAGAAATCTCAAACAAGTATCAAAAGTTCTGAGTCTTTGCAACTCCAAAAAGGCAGTATGGCAGCAGTGAGGCTGCCACAAAAATGAGGAACAATGACATAGCTCATTATACGTCTCTTTTCTAGCAAAAATGTCCAAGTTCTTTACTCGGTTCTCTACTATAAAAATAGGAATAACCAAAATGTGTTCAATGAATAATGTGAATTTGGAATTTTCAGGCAAGTTCTCTGCCTAAAGATCAAGCAGAGCGATGGGAAGATGATCAATTGCTCTCAACTATTTTTATGAAACAATGACGATGATAAGATGAAAATAAAACATTAAAACTAATCGAGCTAAGCCCTTCCCTATCTCCTCCTGGGGACAACAGGTGGTCTTATCTACAGGCCTCTCTGCTCCTTTCCAGCTCAAATCTATGATCCTATGAAAGTACAACGACTATAACAGAGTACTGAATTTTCAGGATTTTGGCTTAGCAGACAAGTGAAGGCAGGGGAAAAACGTAAGAAATTCTCAACTCACCCTTTCTGCACCTGAAGCAAATATACAGACTGGTATTCCTCCAGCAAAGTGCTAAATGCCATTAAATATATAGGCGCCTAAACAAAACCCTTCAATCCCTTAGAGCCTGAGTGCTCCACTATCTATTGGTTAAATGTGATTTTTATTGTTTTATTATAAACGTTTACAATTACTGAAACAAGCTTACATTCTTGGTATAAATCCAACCTGATAACACATAATTGTTTCAGTATGTTGCTATAGCCTCTTTGCGAAATAATTTATGTAATATTTTTGCATCAATATTCATTGGATAGGGGTCTAGTTTTCTTTCTCTGTTTTATCTCTCCCTGCTTAAGGTATGAGGCCTTTTATTTGTCTCATAAAAGGAGTTTGGTAGGATCCCTTCTTTGCCTGTTTTTGAAAAGAATTTATGTAATATTGGAATTGTTATTTAAATGTTTGATAGGATTCACTTTTAAATCCATCTGGTCCTAGAGTTTTGTTTTTTAAATTTGACAGTTCTCTTATGACTTGCTTAATTTCTTTTTCTGAGATTGAGCAAGTTAAAACTATCTTATTCTGTTGATCTGGGTATTTGTTTTTTTTTTGTTTTTGTTTTTCTTTGTTTTTTTTTCTGAGGCAATTGGGGTTAAGTGACTTGCCCAGAGTCACACAGCTAGTAAGTGTTACGTGTCTGAGGCTGGATTTGAACTCAGGTCCTCCTGACTCCAGAGCCAGTGCTCTTTCTACTGCGCCACCTACCTGCCCCAGTATTTGTATATTTTCTAAATATTGGTTCTCCCTTTCCATTTTTGATTGTAGTAAAATAGTTTTTTTCTTTTTATCAAATTAGCTAACCATTTGTCTGTATTTTAGTTTTCTTTAAAAAGCTCTCAAATTTATCAACTGAATTTTTTTCTTTTCAATTCTGTGTATGCTAGTTGGCATTTTTTTAATATGTTGCTTTTATAAATTTGTGTTGTTGCTGTATGCTCAATTAATCTTTTCTTTCTCTTTTTTGTTGATGAAAATATTTCTTTAATCTGGGCTGGGCCTGACTCTGGCCAGTCCCACTGATAGTTTAGGGTGAATACCGGAATGAAATGATATACTTATAGATCATTCAACAATTAACAAAAGGAGATTTACTTAGCAATAAATAGCAAGGCGAGGATATACAAGGAGAACACAACGTGGCTCAGCCACATGAAACCTCCTTGCCTCTGTGTCACCCATTGCCACCTGCCAGACAAGCCTCAGAGAAAGACTAGAGCTGCTCCTCGTTGCTTTGTACTCAGGGGACCAGAAGTGATGTCAATCAACAACCTGAGCCATTAGTCCTCTGAAATCTCTAGGACAATTTCAACAACTTCTAAGGAAAAACTAGGCTAACTTTTATGGGGTTAGGATAATGTTTCCACTACAGCCCAGGTGTCAAGAGTTAATTCTCACCCATAAACAGAAAGGCAGAATAGCATAATGGAGAGAGGGTTGGCTTTGGATTAAGGAAAACCTGAATTCAAGTCCTGTTTCTGATGCTCATTAGAGGTGACCCAGGGGAAGTCATTTTAA